CAAAGAAGTCACGTGACAAGCTTCACGTGGGTCAGTCTACTGAGGAAGACCAGAGTGACGTGGTACGAAAGCTCTAGGTGAGAGTAACTTTTTGTGTTGGATCAAAAGTTTTAACTCTAAACATGTAACAAACAACACAGATGAACTTTCATGAAAGTACATACCGATCTTGGTGACCTTTTGCAGAGGCCGTAGTTGGATTGCCGATAGTAATCACAGTACGTGTTGCCTTCACAGTCGGCGTGGCTGTAGCAGTATCGTGGCTAAGGAGGAAATGTAACATCTTAAACATCAATTCATTACTTATGATTAGGTCACATTTCCAAACCGGGGTCCGGCCGGGTTGTTTGTACGAACGTAAAATTAAGGACTAATGTACAGAACTAGAGCCCATGATTGTTATTAAGAACTTTTCTGTGTTTTCTTGTCTTTTGTATCGTAGTTTACGTTCCCAAACTTTCCAGGCATGGCCCCGTGTGGGAATTTTGACCTCAGCATTAAACAGGATAAGGGAAGAAAAAGAAGGTAGCTTGCCTTTAAATTCATTCTTTTTTTTCAGTACAACAAATTACATTGACTTGGCATTATGTCTTTGAACGTCAGGTCCGTAAATAAAACCTTTGAAATGCATTCCTCAAGTTTTCAAGACAAGTTTTTTCTCAACAACATCAGCAAGAAACTCCAAAAAAAAATGAAAGTCCGAAAAATTGAATTTTCAATCCTTTCTAAATTATATATCCTTTCTTAACAAAGTTGAAAACAAATTGGAGAAGCATCTTGGCAAATGGGGCAAATTTTGTGTTTGAAATCTTTGTTTTGATTTGTGGATTCTGTGTGATTGTTGTTAAAGTGGATGGTTCACTTCTTTTGTTCTTTTGTTGAATAATAATAAAAAAAACATCAGCAAGAAACTTACTCTGCAGATTCCCCCACCGAAGTAGAATCTTCCGTACGTTATTGTGTCACAAAACGTGGAGGGGCCACAGTCATTATCAGAGTAGCAATAGGTCCTCTGAAAACCAGTAAAATAATCTGATGTAAACAACACTGTTACAACAACAACGATGATACTGATAGTTGAACGTGTAGGATCTGACCCTAAGAAAAACTCACACAGCTACGATTAGAACTAATGTCTAAGAAAATGTGATCAAATTGGAATGAAAGGGTTCAAAACGTCAAACTCTAAGTGGAAATAGCATTAACGTTCATCTGAGTTGGTAAAATACATAATGAAAAATGAACTGGTCACGAACTCAAGAAAATGACTCAGCAGGAATTTTTAACCTAATCACTCGGTCTTCATCGAAAGTCGGCATACCAACGTAACGTTCGCTCAACCGGGACGGGGGGCGATACCGACTTTTGACGAACTTTGACCCAGTGCTGGCGTCACACGTGGGCAAACGCCACTTGTCTACAGCACTCGGTTCACAAAGCCGAGTGATTCAGTCGAAAATTCCTGGTGAGTCATTTTTTTTCTTGAGTTCGAGAACAGCTTAATTTTCATTATCTAAGTGAAATGTTATCATGAAAGTCCATCTGTGTTCGTAGTTACATGTTTAAAGTTAAAACGTTTTGTCCAACACAAAAAATTCTCTCACCTAGAGCTTTCGACCAGTCACTCTGGTTTTCCTCAGTAGACTGACCCAGTGGGGCTTGTCACGTGGCTTCTTTGAAGTGTGACGTCAACATACACTGGGTCAAATGTATCTGGTAGACGATGTCGACTCCCGTCGCGGTTCCATGAAGCTTCACTGGGTCAGTCTACTGAGGAAGACTAGAGTGACTGGTCGAAAGCTCTAGGTGAGAGAATTTGTTTGTGTTGGACCCGAAGGTTTAAGTTTAAACAAGTGGAAATGTTTTTGTTGTGATGAGATGGGCCCAGTCAGTCAACTGAGGAAGACCAGAGTGTCTGGTCGAGAATTTTTTTGTGTTGGACCAAAAGTTTTAACTTTAAACATGTAACTACCAACACAGATGAACTTTAATGAAATTGGAAATGTTGTTTTTTGTGATGGATCATCAGAAGCGCTACTATGGGGATTGCTGGGATGAATAGCAAACCCTTAGTCTGGTTGGGCGGTCACTGTCCCGCACGCACTTTCCGTACTGGCCGAAGACCTGGGCGTCACAGTAGCTGTACGCGTCGCAATCGACGTCGCTGTAGCAGTATCTGCCAGCCTGACAGAAAACATAGTACAAAGCCGAGTGAAACGGAAGCAGGGTTAGTGGCGGCAAAGTCACATCGTGTCGTTAGAAAGCTTCTAGGTGGAGTTTTTGTTTGTTTCAAAGCCGAGCAGGAAGAGTAGCCCGAGTGTCAGCCTTGTTAGCTTTTGTCCGCTCCCTAAGATCCGCTCCCCGCCAATCTTGGGGAGCGGACGAAAGCTAACAAGGCTACACGAAGGCTACACGAAGAGAGTTGGTTACGGCTGCTTGTTTGTTTTTTTAAGCATAGCCATAGAGACTGGTCGCTAAGCGCTGAACTTTAATGGAAAACATATGATGGGATCGTACAGAAAAAGTAGAGACGGAAATGGACTGATACTCACTTGAGGTGATAGCTGTTCCGAAGCACCACCGCGAGGCTTAGCCGCGTCACTGCGCTAAAATGGCGGCCATCTTTTCCAGGAGGCCCGGATGTAGGACCCGGATGTATGTAGGACCCGGATGTTTTTACCACAAATGTTCTTTCCACGTTTCCGAGGCTACGACAGGAGCTGTGCGTAACGCTGTGACTTTAATATGTACACAGATGCAGTTGAGTGTAGAAAACAAAAAAACAAAAAAAGAGAGAAAGCTTTGGAGTGGGCTCCGCCGAAACCTGCAGCCATGTCCGCCATATTGTTCACCTTGACCTTGTGCTGCGAGTTGAGGAAGAATGTGAGCTCGACAAAACAGCTGCCAGGTTGGCGGTCCCTTCCAAAACGCGAGACATCACAGCAAACATGCGGTTGAGCTTCGGTACAGCCATAACCTTAAGTGATTGCTAGATGTTAACTTCTAGCTTGAAAGGTGAACAACATTCTCATACCTCTAATAGTCCAGGGTAATGTATGTTCTTCAAGCACAGGCGATAGCCTTATCAAGTGCAACTTGAGAACAAATTGTGTAAAACGATATCTATGCACATATCTTGAAATACCTAAAATTGGGGGCTAGCAGGGTTTTCCTATTTTCATAAGGACAGGGTTTGAAAACAATGGAAAAGTAAAGAAATTGCATTTCAAGTTCTTTTTTTTTATTATTCTTGACATCTGCTTTTTGGGATATCACCCTCTTCTCCCCATCGTTCAAGTAAAACTAGGATATAAGTGCCAATATGGCGGACATGCTTGTACCTTTTCACTCATTCATCCACTTAAAATTGTTGTGAGTGTTAGTCTGACTATCGTGGATTGAAGTAGATTATGGAAGTCAAGCTAAAATTCGTTGTTATTTTCCATTTTTGTTTATTCAACCTCTCAGAAAATACTTGTTTAAAATACTTATAAAAACATTTATGGTGATTTGGAGATATTGCAAAAGACATCAGCAAAGTTCTTAACAATAATGTCAGCATTGTACATATGTGTGTAAGATGTGTGTTAGTCCTTACCGACACGAGTTGTGCCGATCCCACCACCACAGCCGTCAGGAACAACAGTAATCCGCACGTCCCCATGCTTCGTCTTCTGCGAACGACAAGGAATAAAACATATGATTGTCAGGGTATTTCATTTCCAATTTGTACGTATTTTTATTCTGTCGGACATTTATGATATTGTTTTCATTGGAAATTTCGGTGTAATTCAGTTGAATACTGCAAGACCGATTTTATTCAGAATAAACCAAATGATGGTGATGATGATAAAGTGGTTGTTGTCTTGACCACAAGAGGAAGCCTTCAGAGAAGACTCTTGCTGCCCTTAGGAAGGCTAGGAACGACGCTCAGCGGATAGCTCGGCGCAGTGCCAACGACTACTGGCTAAACCTTTGTGAAGGCATCCAGCTCTCTGCTGACTGTGGAAACATTCGTGCAATGTACGACGGCATGAAGAAAGCGTTTGGTCCCAGCATCACTAAGACTGCACCTCTGAAAACAGCCTCTGGCAACATCATCACAGACAGAGGAAAGCAGATGGAGAGATGGGCCGAACACTATCAAGAGCTCTATTCAAGAGAAAACGTCGTCAGCGCAGCGGCCGTTGAGAACACAGACACCCTACCACTTATGGAGGAGCTAGACACCCCGCCCACCATTGACGAACTCAGAAAGGCCATTAACTCCCTGGCCAGCGGGAAAGCTCCTGGTAGTGATGGGATTCCCCCAGAGGTCGTCAAAGCAGGCAAGAACACTGCCCTACATAACCACCTGCACGAGCTCCTTCTCCAATGCTGGGAGGAAGGAGCCGTCCCGCAAGACATGCGCAACGCTAGCATCATTACGCTCTACAAGAACAAGGGAGACCGCAGCGATTGCAATAACTACCGAGGAATATCACTTCTCAGTATTGTTGGGAAAGCCTTCGCCCGAGTAGTACTCAACCGGTTGCAGAAACTTGCAGAGCGAGTCTACCCCGAGTCACAATGCGGCTTCAGAGCCGAAAGATCAACCATTGACATGGTCTTCTCGCTACGGCAGCTGCAGGAAAAGTGCCGAGAACAGAGGCGCCCGCTGTACGTGGCCTTTATTGACTTGACGAAAGCATTCGACTTGGTCAGTAGACAAGGCCTCTTCACCCTGCTACAAAGGATTGGTTGTCCCCCCAAGCTCCTGAGGATGATCTCGTCTTTCCACGAAGACATGTATGGCACCGTCCAGTACGATGGTTCATCCTCGGATCCCTTCCCAATCAAAAGCGGCGTGAAACAAGGATGCGTACTAGCTCCGACACTCTTCGGCATCTTTTTCTCCCTCCTGCTGACCTTTGCTTTTCATCGGTCAGAAGACGGAGTGTACCTGCACACCAGAAGTGACGGAAGGCTCTTCAACCTCGCACGTCTCCGAGCAAAAACTAAGGTTCGCAAGGTCCTGATTAGAGAGATGCTGTTCGCCGATGACGCCGCCTTGACTGCGCACACAGAGCCAGCCTTGCAGCGACTCATGGACCGCTTCTCTCATGCGTGTAACGAGTTCGCTCTCACCATCAGCATCAAGAAGACCCAAGTCATGGTCCAGGATGTCTGCAGCATTCCTAGAATCTCCATCGATGACCACATCCTTGAGGTGGTAGGCACGTTCACCTATCTGGGTTCCACCATCTCCAACAACCTGTCCCTGGAGGCAGAGTTAAACAAACGCATCGGCAAAGCAGCAACAGTTATGGCTCGCCTTGGGAAACGCGTTTGGGACAACGCAATGCTGACCACCAACACCAAGCTAGTGGTATACAAGGCTTGCATACTCAGCACGCTCTTGTATGGCAGCGAAGCCTGGACACTGTACTCCCACCAAGAACGTCGACTCAATGCCTTCCACATGCGCTGCCTCAGAAGAATCCTGGGCATCAGTTGGCAGGATCGTGTCCCGAACAAGGACGTCCTGGCACAGGCCGGAATGACCAGCATGTACGCCTTGCTCAGCCAGAGGCGTCTGAGATGGCTCGGTCATGTTAGCCGAATGGACGATGGCCGAATTCCGAAGGACGTGCTGTACGGAGAACTAGCAACCGGTGCCAGACCTGCGGGGAGGCCCGTCCTCCGCTACAAAGACGTCCTCAAGCGTGACATGAAGGCAGGAGGGATCGACCAAACAAGCTGGGAGACAGTGGCAGCCGACCGCAGCAGATGGAGGCAAGCCGTGAAGACAGGCGTCAAAACCAGTGAGAAGAGGAGAGAAGAACAGTGGGAGGAGAGAAGACAGCGTAGACGACAGAGACTAGCACAAACCTGCACACAACCTGACGTTTTCACCTGTGTCAACTGCGGCAAAGTATGCCGCTCCAGGATCGGCCTCTACAGCCATAGCAGGCGATGCATGAAGACATCCTGACCCACGGCGCATATTCCATCGTCTCAAGAGACGAAAAGGATGCCAACAATGTCTTGATTGTCTTCATTTTGATACCCTTCAGCCAAAATGGCTAGTCCTAGAGGGTTCATAAGAACATACATATAACATAACACACATGCTACAAAATGAGATTTACATTACATGCAAAGGGAACATAACAAACTAATCACAATTAAGATTATTTGAACAGTTGATGGATGGCTTTTTAATGGTAGATGGACTGGGTAGTGTTTTGATGTGATGTTGTTGTATCCATGATTTAGCTTTATCCAAAAACATGACCAGGTTTTTTTTATTGGATACGAGAGGACTATCCAGAACCATCCCTGATCCTAACCCCAACCCATCCTGAGAACCCAGGAGGCACAAGGTAAGCATGTGTGCCTTGGTCTGTTAGGACACCGAGACGGCAATTTTGAAGAAATTGCAAGACCCTGAATTGCTAAACCGACCAGATTCTGAACGATCTGACCACGCGTATATGATAGATGGCCCTGCAGAGGAGATCCACATTCTTGGATATGATTTCTGTTTTTCTGTGTGCTCGCCAGTTGCGTTTTCGACAGTCTCCAGACGGCCAGAACCTTTCTCGCGCCTCAAAAATGTCGGTGTTTGCTCTTCGCGTGGAACCGACGTCTCCGAGCGCGCGACCTTGTCAGGGTCTGGGCTGGAGGGGGAAATGGATCGGTCGCCATTCGCCACATCCCTCATGTCAAACTATGGCAGGTTATACCCCCATTCCACTTAGACGGCGCTCTCACGGCGCTCTCTCTGCGCTCCCACAATTTCAGGTCGCAAAGAGAGCGCAGTCATAGATATGGGGGCCTTACACCCTCCATTTCATAGCCTGAATATGATGCAGGATGTACAAGAATGACTGTGAAAACAATGAAACAAACAATACGTACACAATGTTTGTGTTCTGGCGACGACAGTTGCCACGATGATGTTATAGCATGTAAATTTCCACTCAATAAACATTAAGAAACTGAAAATTTACATGTGTTTCAGGCATGGATTTTGTTGGGTACAGGGGATTGTGTGGAAGGGATCTGGGTCTGGCGATGACAATGAAAATGTTATAGCATGTAAATTTTCAAAATAAACATTAGGGGGTTGTAAAAGCTTGTTGCGTGTCGAATTTTCTATCCGGACACGCGCCTAACTCTGGCTCGCATGAACGGTAGGAAATCGTCACCAAAGTTTCAAATTTTGCAGTCTCAGTGCGGCTCGGACGGCGACATGGCGCTGTGAGCAACTCATGTCGATTTGGCATTTGGCAGGGATTCGCAGAGAAATTTTGGCATCTCCGAAACTTCCCCCGTCTGCCTAAAATACATGTTGCACCCCTTCGCGAACCAATGAAAGCTGCCAGCTAGCTAGCTTTGTTGGCTATCCATATTTCATCGGGTCAGGGCGAGAGCATCTCAACAATGAAATGCGCACTGAATTTACCAAAAAGCTGACGCTGGTTAGACTGGGTGCCATCCTAGTTTATTTAAAAATACAGACTCCCCGACATAAACTTACAAGGGTGGTACCCAGGATATTCAACTATCGCCGCTAGTGTTTTGTTATGAAGATCCAGCTTTTTTGGCTATCCATATTTCATCGGGTAAGAATATCTTAATAATGAAATCCGCACAGACTTTTGTCAAATGCTGACGCTAGGTAGACTGGGTGCCATCCTCGTTAGTTTATTTGATACAGAAGCC